GACCTATGGAAGTCAACTAAAGCATGGCACTTCTAATTACAATATGCACTGAAATCCTTACAGTAGTGAGGCTGATAGGGAAGCACTGCTTGGCTGTTAGTTGTGTGTTTGACATCTTTTTTCCTCCCTTTGGAAGCCTCATGAAAATAAGAGTTGTTCACTGCTTCTAAAATCTTTCTACAGAAATGGAAGAAAATCAATTTAGGATTGAACATGCTCCAGTGGTTCTTGATGAAGAAAAGATTTTATGATAGAGTGATTATCATAGTCTCTTGCTTAAAAAAAAGACACATATTACCTTACTGAAGATGATGAAGCACTATGATATTCTATCAGAAAAGTTAGTACTATAGAGTGGTTCTTGACAGAAATGTGCAAAACATCATAAGCTGGTCCCTGTACAGTGCTGAAGTTTGGATATTATGTAGATTCTGTCATTTGCATTTTAATATTTGTGAATGATTATAATGTAAATGAAGCAGAACTGTGTCTAGGTTTATCTTTTATCGGTGTTTGTTTACTTAGGATGCATTGGAAAAGAAGTAGATGGGAATTAAAACACTGAATGGTGGTGTTTCAAAATTGTAATTACTTTCTGATAGCGTGTGACTTCCCATAAGTCAAGCTGCATGCAGGGATAGGTTTTCTGTGCTGTATATGTGCAGAGGAGTAAAGGAGTGTCATTTTGGTAATTATTATTCAGAGAAAAACATCTGTGGCACAGTGCCTGTGAAAATGATGATTATCAACCATAAGCAGATATGACAATTCACTTCAGAAATTATTTTATTGATCTCTGGAAAATTGCATTTACTTTCCAAAATAAACAAAATTGTTTGCTTCTGGTAAATGGTGAAAAACACTTCAGCTTCTTTGTGAACAGGAAGGGCAATCTCCTGGGAGAATGAGTCATGAAAACATTAGTATAGTTTGAACTTACTGTTCTGCAATTCCATTATTTTAATTGTTAGGATTTTTGATATCCAAATGGAAGCATTCATTATACTGCTTTTTTATCTTGGGGATGGACAGGCTATTAAAATAAAAATCTTAAACCAAATCTGTTTTAGCTAAACATACTTTAGCTAGCTTTAGGTCATAAAACCCATATGAATGCAAGTTGCAAATTAATCTTTTATTAGCTTCTTTATTATTCTTTTATTGGTTTCATTTTGTTAGCAGGTGAAGTGTTGGTGCAATGGTAAGGTGTGTAGCCTCAGGAAAGAAAATATGCAGTCCTTTTGGGATGCTTCAGCTTGTGGATTTCTTGGCTCATTATTGGCACTGTGCATTACTAATGTTGAAGAGCTTACATTTTCCTTTCATCAGACTTTTCACTCTCTTTTTATTTATTTAGTTGTGAGCCAGAAAGCAGCAAGACCAAAGAAAATGAGATATGATAATAATTAGAGGGTCAGATCAGTCACAGGAGCAGTGCTGGGGGAAGAGCGGGGGATTAGGCATAAAGGCCCATCAGTTACTGTCATTGCTTTGATTTCCTGTGAGAGTGACTTTAATGGCTGTTGTAGTATCATTTTTAATTAGAGTGCTTTTGGCAGTGGAAAACTTCACATAGGTTTTCACGTTTTAACAGAAATGGAAAATTTGGATTTTTGCACAGCTGTGTGTCAGTGCAAAAAGAATGCTTGTCATTCCCAGTGTTGAATCTCAAGAAATTCTGCAAAAGAGGAGTCAAGTATTTGGCTGGGACATAGGTGTTGACAATGTGCTGTAAAATTCAAAAGTGCCTAAGGGGCTGAGTGTGCAGTTCCTGGAGAGTCCTCTTCTGGCAGTGACAGGAAGAAGCTGTCAGAAGGAATTGGATGCTTCCCCCATTTTCTTGGATGCAGCAGGCACAGTAGTCTGCTGCTGTTCTCTGTGACAGTGGAGGAGGGGTATCCAACTTGAAAAGGTTTTGAGTGGTTCCAAAAACTGCCATTCATATGCATACTGGCTGTGACTGATTTTGCAAGTTTTAAGTTGCATATTTTCAAGTTTGTCACAGGGCCTTGCCTAGAGACTGCTTCCTGGGTAGCTGGAGGTCCTGGTGCTGAGCTCATTTGAAGTTTGTGTGTTACAGATGCCCTCTAAAGAATAATACCAAATTTAGGTGCTGTAGTATTTGTGTTGTTGGCTGGTGGAATTTTCTGGCATGTTGTTTGGAAATGTTGGGTCACTACAGATGGATGAAGGATGTAAAGAGGCAAAAAAACAGAGGTGAGGAGACCTTGCTTACAGACCTGTAGGACCAATATATTTAGCTCTGATACTTTGCACAGACCATGTGTGTGCAAATTCCAGATTGCCCAGTCTCTCTGACTGGATGAGCTCTATAGGACTGGTGACTCTTCTTGCTGCAAGGGGAAGCAGAGGGCTCTGGGAGACTCACTGGCAGAAGTGGTCTCTCCCTGGAGAGCACAAAGCTCCATGCCTTGCCCTACAACAGAGCTCAGTGTCAGGCACACCAGGCAGTGGATCCATGGGCAGCCCTTGCCAGGCTGTGTGCTTGTGTGTGTAGAGACTGGGGTTTACCTCATGTCCCTGTAACAGAGCAGTCTTTTTGAGCACCAACCACTACTGAAACTAGAGATGGGCTGTTTTTTCTGATTTTCTCTCCTACTCCACTGTTCCCCAAACTCCATGCCCTGAACGACTGTTCACCAGAAATTGCTGTGAGCTGCTACGTACCTTGGCAAAACTGAGGAAAAGCCATCTTAAATGCACTGTGGTCCCACAGTCTGAACCAGTGCATGGATTTTTCCATATACGTTTTGTGTTAGCTTTTGTTACGTGCAGATCTATAGCTCTCCCTCAAGAAAATCAAAACATAGTAAAACTTTACCTCTCACAGAATATTGTTGTTTTTTTTTTAAGTGAACTAATAGGAAAACTCAGTTTTACACGGCTGCTGTTAGTCTGAACAGCAGACAAACTGTTTATTTGATCTGTTAGGATCTGTTTAGCTATATGAAAGTAGCAGCTATGTATTTTTGTTACTGTGATAGTATGATAATAAAATGTCAGTGAATCTCAAAAGATTTCACTCTAAAACAAAATAAACTTTTATTAACCTAAAAGAGAAGTTGATTTTTTCAATTAAAAACATAAAATTATCTTGTTCTACCTCTACACCCTAAATTTAGTTTAAATGGTATTCTGATACTAGTCAGTTTGAAGAACAAACAATAGTGAAGTATATTCCACTCACATACTCAGAACACCCTTTTTCTGTGGAATATATGTTTGAAAAATGAAATTCAGTTTTCCTCATCCCCTTCTTTCTCCCAAATACGTTTTTCTCTGGCTCTTATTTTAATTGTAGTTATGTCTAAGCTCTTCCAAATGGAAGATGAATTATAAATCTGGCAACCTTCTGTGCCCTTCTGACAAATTACACCTCGTGCTGCTTTTTTGCCTTAGAGTCAAATCCAGTTTTAATGCAATTGTGATTTATCAGCCAGGGTGGATAATTTTTTTAAAAGATGCTTATTATTGTAATCTTATTGGCCATGGTAGCAAAGAATATATTCATTTCAAGAACAGTCAGACCATCATTCTTGGAAGCATTTGTAAATGTTAAATCTAGACCAATGGAATAATAATTATTTCTATGAGATTAGTAGCTCTTTGCACACTGGCAATGTGATAACCCATTTTTTAAACCTTCAAAAAGTGTAAAGTCTAGTTTTGTGTGGCAGTGGCAAAGGGATTGTGTTACTGGTTTCACTCCTCCTCCTCGGCAGTGCCGGATAATCTGCCTTGTCCTTTACAGTCGGTCTGGTGGTAACATGAGGCCTGACTTCAATTGCAGTGCTAGTTGGAACCTGTTCACCTTGGTTTGAAGATTGCCACAGAATTGCAAAAAGTGACATGGAAGGTATAAGAAGAGAGATTATACCCAAGGAATATTTTTGTGTAGGAATACTTTCGTGTAGCATGCTCAAGAGAAGGACCTCGTGTTGATGGTGACTGTCTTAGCAGTGTTGTAGGTTGCCATTGTTATTTGTGCAGGTTTTGAAGGAGTTTTAGTCATGGGGCTGTGTATTTTCTTCACTGTCTTAAAGTGCTACTTAATGTTACTCTCTGAATTGGTTCATGTTTCATGAGGTAGAAGTTCCTCTGTTTCAGTTTTAACCTTACAGATGCAATCAACAGTTCAAATAGAAGGGAAAAACTTTTTTATATTACACTTTTATATATCATGTCCCATGGTGATCTGGTGCCCATCTGAGCTTGATTGAGAACTGGTGTCCTACAGACCTCCAGGATAACTTGTGTTTGAGGTCTGCAGAGAGCAAACTGAGATAGCAACACTGACAGATGGTTAGATAAAAACCAAATATCCTGACTGATTTTATAGGTTGTCTATTAAAAGTATTCATACTGCAGATACCATTGGAGATTTATTTCTGGCCTTTTTTGCATATTGGGTTTATCCCAAGCGTACTCCAAAACACATTGATTTGTTGAAGACAAGTTTTGTTTCAAATGTTGATATTTAATTGGTGTGTGGGTTGGTCTTGCCAAAATTCAGCCTCCTCTGATGTTGAGAACAATACTACACTGTTTCAGAAGTTCATCAAATGAAACCTTTAAGATTTTTTTCTTCCTTGCTGTTCGCACCAGTTTGGTGAATTGTAGGTCAGTGGTTTAATGAAAAATACTTGTATTGGCATTGTTGTTATTCTGTTTGCAAAATCTTTCCTAGACTTTCCTAAAAAGTAGGATTGTAAGAACTAAGCAGCATATTAATTTTTATGTAAGAATTTCTGAAGATATTTGCAAACACCAATTACAGGCATGCCAAGAAACAAAGGCAATAGCTCAAATGTTTCCAAGAACATCTCCTGAGCCATGCGTATCGTTTGGAAGGAATAAATCAGTTATACCTCCATATTTAGGTTTGTGAGAAAAGTAGAACAATACAAATGTACTGTCTGAATTGTAAATTTTTGCTTGTGTAAAGGTTGCTAATTTCACAATCCTATTGCTTGTTCTAGAGCATCTCATCCTCACGAAGTAGAAGCTCATCTTTGCTGCCGCCTGGCACAGCTAATTCTGCATCTCCCAGTGGCCAGAAATACACGAATCCAAGTGGGCCAACTGTTGTCACCATCACACATCACAAATCACCTGCAGCTGCTCGAAGAGCGAAGAGCCAGAGATCTGGTCAGCTCCATGAAGTCCGAGAGGTAAGAGAGAAACATCTGCTGTTTTGCTGCAACTTGGAAGTGCTTATTTTGCTTCACAATAAGCAATTGAGTCTGACAAGTTAACGATTCTCTTTGTTTCTGACTTTATGATGGCTTTGTTTCGATCCCCTTGCTGAGCAAGAGGTGGGATTTAGTTCTGGTTCAGCTTCAGGTCAGGTGTATACAGATTTTTTTATGCTGATGTTAAAATTGGTGCGTGAAAGTGAAGTAGATAGCCAACAGCTCCTGGAATTTGCAGTGGTGCTGCAGTACTGGAGGAAAATCTCTTTGAAGCTGCATGCAGCAATACCTTTCAGATTGGAAAATGGGCCCTGAAGCATTTAAATATAGCTAGAAAAAAACTACTTGAATAAGTCTGATGAATGTGTGAATGAAGGCGTAGCTCCCCACACTCAGCAGTTTATTGCTATCCTTCTGTAGTTTTAACTTTGTGTCAAGTTTATATTGCTGGCATTGCAGAAGAAAAATGGTTCATCTATATCAAATGCATGAAAACCAGAGAAAAAAGCTTGTTTCTTTTAAAGTCTCTTTGTACCAGTGTTTAAGAAATTTAACTCATACTGACTTAACTCTGTCTTTCAACAACAAAAATAGTACAGACTTTTAAGCTTAAATAGTATGGCAGATTTTCACAGAACACTGTTTAATCTTTCATCTCTTACTCCTTTTTGCTTTGTCTTTCATGTTAAGAATTTGAATAAATTCTTGGGATGTGCTCTGAATGAAGGCTTAAATTGTACATCCTGAGAAGGAATGCTTGTTTTTCTTCTAGTAAACATTAGAAATTAAGAACTGGCTGTCTGAATGTCACCCACATTTTCTTTACATTAGAGAAAACATACATCTGTCTATTTTTTATAAAAATATCCTGTCTTTGTCTACCAGTCATCTCCCCCAGGTTGCTCCTAGCATGCTAAATGTATTTGCTCTCATAGGTTGAATTCAGAGTGTGCCTCAAACCTATTAACAAAGTCAACAGTGGGAGTGGTTGCAATTTTGTCAAATGAAGCTGAGTAAAGTTGAAAGCTATTTGAAAAAGACTATTAATGTATGTGCTGATAATAATAAGTTGGGAAGAGAAAAAGCCATCAGTTGCAAAGAATACACCTGGAAGAAGTAAATACTAACCTATAGTAAAACAATGGGTAAGGGGTCAGGTGTTATCCCTGCAGAAAAGGCCAGTGAATTGCTGACTCACTTGTTTGCGGTGCATTGCAATGTGATGTCATTCCAAAAATGGAAACTGTTAGAGGACTTCAGTCTGTAATGATGGAAGGTAATTATTTTGTTTTGCTTGATGTGAATGGTACTTCAGCTTCAGCACCAGTTCTTTTTAGAGGGCTGCAATAACAACGATGAAAAAAAACCCTCAGACATTGAAGATAGAGTAATGACTGGAAGAAATGAGTGCTTTTCAGGGAGAGAAGATGGTACTAAGATGAATGATGCATAAGCAAATTTCATAAGACAATGTGTGAAATTTACATTTTTATGTGTTGGATATTTTGAGTGTGTGTGCTGCTTCCTAAAGAACAGCATCACAGTGGAGAAATCGGATCTTCTGCTTTCTTTTCCAGTCTTGTGTAAAAAGTTACATGCTTAACTGATGTTGTTTCCATATTGTAAAAGGGTATGTCTGTTTTTTCCAGATTAACAAAGGAGATTTTATTTTAACAGTATTCTCTGTGCGCTTCCTTATCCCCCATTTTCCAGAGTGAATGAAATAGACTTGGGTATATGATACCTGTGTTTTCAGGAAATGGCTGTTCCATGTATGAGTCCAGCAGTGATCCACCCTCCCTTGTGAAATTTATCAATGAAGAGATATGTCTGGAGCCCCTCACAAAACTGCGCTTAAATCTGTTCTAGTCCTGTTTTTTACTCTGAAACAATGAAAAATAGGAGCTAGAAGTACAGTGAGAGAGAGAGTTAATCCTTTCCTCAATACCCAAATCTTTGCTTTTTATTTGAAATTTGTTTGGTATGATCCGGATGCAGGGAAGAGACTGCAAAAGGATTATAGATCAATGTTACTGTTCCCCTGATTGAACAATGCCATTGAAGCTTTGATATGCAAATTAGTTTTTAAAAATTGTACTATAAATAGGATTACATTAGCTAATTTTGCACCTTGTAAATACAGTAGTTTAGTCAATGCAAAAAGTTGATCTGCTTCTGGAAAATGAGGGGAAGCATGTATGTTTTAAATTTCCCAACAATGTTATGATATGGTAGTGCTGCTGTGTTATATATGAGATCTTTGAAAAAAGATAATGCTGCAAAAAGGGGCATCCTTCACTTGGCACGTGTGGTGTTTGCTAGCTGGGACAATGTTCCTGAAAAGTGTTGAAGTTGAAATTGCTTCTCAATTCTGAACTTTTTGATCTGGCCATATTATTTGGAAAAAAGTGAGGTGTACCTCCACGTTGCAAATAGGGCAGAATATACTCTTGCATTATATTTTATATAATGCAAGATGTTCTGTAATACTTGATTGTTCTTTCCCTCCTCTTTTCACTTCATAATAAGAATAAGCAAAACAGTAAGAATAAACAACAACGTTTCTTTCTGTGGTTTGTTCTGGTTGATTTAGTTTGATTTTTAGTAGGCTAGAGAATTTTAGCATGAAACTAATTGTAGCAAAGAGGTCTGTTTAGCACCAAACCGATAAACAAAATCATATAAATGTAGTATATACAACTGTCTAGGTCTGCAAAATGACACATGTAATAAGTGTTTCCATTGTGAAATTGGAATTTCACCTATTTTCCAAAATTTGTTAAGTTAAAATTGAGTATAATATGAAGCTTTTGACTGCTAAAAAACCCCCTATGTTTTAATACTTGCCCTACTTTTATATTGTGTTGAATTGTAAAGGAGCTCAGGAGCATTACTTTTCATCATAATGTAATTTTTTATTCTGTTTAATATCTCTTAAATCAGATTTTTGCTTATATTAACTTGGTGTTAATAGTGCAGTCCACACTGATTTATAGAATGTTATATCAAAACTAAAATTAACCATACATTAACTTGTGAGAAATTATCTGCATTGTGTTGCACTTCATGCAGAATTATTAGAGATCCTACCTCTTTATTTGGACCATAACTTAGCATTAAAGCGCTACTTTGAGCTAATTTTTTAGTAAGTTATTTTATGGCAAACTAAGTCTCTGTGGTCTTGAAATTTAATTGTGTTTTTAAAACTGTGCATATTATTATCCTGTTAGAAATTTACGATTAAGAGTTATGCTTTCAGATTTCTTTACTGTAAGTAAAGAAGAGTAATCAACTGGAAGGTTAAGCCAAGTGGCCACATCACACTTCATATTAAATTTTACCTGTCACTGAACTAAATAATAGTGACCAAATGGTCAGAATGGTGTTTATTTTGGCTGAGAGTGTCTGACTCTTGTACAACCTCTGCCAGTGTTACAAATGTTGTTGAAGAGCCAAGTGTGTGAAGATTTTGTAGTAATTGATATTATTTACGGACATTTAGAGAAATAAAACTAAAAGAAGTCCAGATAAATATTTCTTCCCACAATTTAAAAAACAGTCAGTGAAGGATTTTCTGATCAGTTTGAAATGTATTTGTTACAACTTTTGATATCCTGACTAGTCATCAGCATGGGTTTCTGAACATTTGGTGCAGGGAGATCCAGATTTCACAGGCCTACCAGTGTAACATCTCTTTTGTGTGCCAGTTGGCAGTCCTAGAACTTGGAAAGGACTGCTTTTTGATAAGATGACAGTCCTAATGCTTCTTGCATATCCTTTTCCATATATAAACAGTTACTATTTGTTTCCTGCAGGAATGATGCAGCTAAGTGATAGTTTTTTGCTTCCTTCCTTACAATTATGGGGAAATCTAGGACTCGCACCTAGGGCTTCATGGAGTGAGGTTTAACATCAATTTTGTGAGGGAACAATTTTATGTGGTTACTGGAACAAAAAGATGATTCTTAAACACTTTTGAGGATTTTTCGAATGAGAAATTAATGTCTTCAGGTCACTGTAATATTTGGATAGCAAAGTTAGGAACTGTGACTCGCTGCTGTTAGCAAAAAAGGATGCTGTTGTGTGTTGTGTCACAGAATTATAGTGCTACACAGGCAGCATTGTAGGTGACAAAGGAGATGCAGCACTTCAACCACTTGGGGAAGCATTAAGACTTGCAGGATTTTTTCAGGTGTGAACTTTATGTGAAAATGTACACTAAGCTGTGTGTTGATGTTAAAGCTTTGTAGTAAATGCTTAAGCTGATAGTGGGGGAAATCTTGATGGTTTTTGATCTATGCCAGATTTTACTTTGCAGCTTTAAAAAAGTCAGGTTTTACTTTTTCTTTCAATTTTTTTTCTTCTTTTTTTTTTTCTCTGAAAGCATGTACTTGGGAGGGTCAATGGATAAGGAAGTGAGTCCTAGCAAAAAGAATGCTGTAACTCTAGATATTTGGCATAATGTTGGGGTTCTGTGGGGTTGTGCAATATGAGCGCATGGAAAACAAAAATGGATTCAGCTCCTTGAACAGGACATCATGCTTAGACAGTGTGAAGTATGCACAAAGAAGATTTTAAAAATCCTCTTAACAATTTAAGTGTTTTTGAACACGTGTGCCTAATTTTGTGTAAAATAACTTTGTATAAGTGGGGAGAAATGCTGTATATTTTAGATCATTGCTTTCACTGGCAGTTCTCACTGTAATTTTGGAGTGCAGGAAGATGAGAGTTAGCTTTGTAACAAAGATGACCTTTAGGTCTGCATGAGTAATAAATCAAATATTTGCTTTTAGGAGATGAAAACGATCTCATATTCACCTAAGGTATGGAGGTGGGATGGGCTGCTGAACTGTGTTAACTTCAGTCTTTCTGACCCTGTAATGTGGGTGCTTTATTGGGGGAGACCTGATAATTGTGCACTTCAGCTACAGCAGCACTGCTCACCTCTGTGTTGCTGTGCCTTTGCTAGTCAGACATAA